CGGCGGCGCGAGGCCGTTGCGCGGCGGGCCCCCGCGCGCGGCGCAATGTGCATCTACCGGTGGAACGATGTGAAGGCTGCCGCGCGCAGACGGTGAACCGCCCTAGTTGAAGCGAACATTCAAAAGAAAGAGGCTGCGCGTGGCCCTGGTTGAAAAAAAAGCGTAAATGTACGAGCGCGCGCGGGGTGCTGGACGCGGGCAAGCCGCCATGCGGCAACGCGACAATATGAATTAGGGCCGCGCGGGCGCGCCCCGGCAGCGCGCGCGGGGCAATCGGTCAATTTGGGCTGCGTCTCTGGCCGGGGCCATCGCGGCAAAGAAACAACCAAGCGCATGCGAATGCTGGACGCGGTCTCATTTGCAACCATCAAGCTTACACCACTCGGGCATGCGCTTCTGGCGCGACGCCGAGGTCAACGGCGCCATATTCGCACGACGCGGCGCTGCTGGAACAAAAAAACGCGCTGCTAGACCGCGCCTGCGCCGTTAAAGGTTCAGGCGCAAATAATGCACTACGGCGTTCAGATGCTGCCCAGAGTCGGCGTCGGTTTCGGCCATTTCTTTCGATCGTGCGGGAGGGGGGGGGGCTACGGTAGTCCCTAGTACGCGCATGCGTTTAGCCTCTGGCTGTCTCCATTTCACTGGCGGGCCCCCCTGAGCCGCGACCCCCCGCGACGAGGCTGCCCCAAAATACAAGATATAACACGCGCACCACACATCAACGCATCGCGATGTCGGGCGAAGGTCAATGCATGGCCAACGCTTGTGAACGGGGCTGCGCGTGCATGTCGGGATGCAGATGAGCGTAGTACATGGCGCAGCCGTGTATATGTTATCGGCACTCTAAAATGGATTAGGGTAGACGTCATCATCGCCATCATCGTCGCCATCATCATCATCGTCGTCATCATTGTCGTCGTCGCCATCGTCGTTGTCGCCCCCCCCCCCCCCCCTCCGCTGGCAATGGGGCCCAGGGGCCCCTGGCAGTAGGAATCGCTGGTTCTCGATCGGGCCTACGGGGCGGGGCTCGCCAATCCTGCGCTCAACGCGACCTCGGGAGGGCCCTCGGGCCACGCGGACAACTATCGGACAGGCGCCGACGACCACTGCGCCCGACGCCCACATGGATTCAGGCTGACGCATGAGCCAGCGAGCCCACGCACAGCAGCGAGCGCACTGGCGGGTTGGAAGGGAGGCCGGATACGGTCGGAGGCAGGGAGCTGAGGTTAAGTGATACCGATTGTCGGTGCCAGTGGTGGCGCCCAGGGACAAGGGGGGAGGTGAGCAAAGATCACTGCGGGGGGGGGGCATCATAGACTAACGCGGCGGACCCAGGTGCTGGAACCAATGCGATGGTGCGGAGCGGGCGAAACAACGAATTCACTTCGGGATCGATTCGGGCTCGTCGGGCTCGCCGTCTCTGCGGCGCCGCTCTCCCCCAAGCATCTCCCTCCAAACGGGGCCAGCCGATGCTTGGGCAGTCAGCCAGGCTCGGGCCCCCTCCTAACATCGGGAATGGGTTCCCAGGCGCGGACGTGCCCGCGGCGGCAGATGACCCACCCAGGGACCTCGCCTGGCCACGCAGCCATGGGGGCAAGCGGCCTGCCCTGCCCAGCCCTGCCAGCAAATCGACTCTCCCCGGCTGTTCGGGACGGGGCGCAACTGCCATCGACGAGGCGGGATGCGCAATTGCACTCGGCGGTGAAACTCTGACCGTTGACATGATAACATAATTTGCCACCAGGCGCACCCCCCGCGAACTCAGCGCGGCCGCGCGGGCCGCGGCGGCCGCCGACAAGCGGCGGCGGCGGCGGCTCTGGCGCAGGCGGCGGCGGCGGCTCAGGCTCGAACAACTCGTCGTCGTCCGCCGCCGCTATCCTCGCCCCCTGGCGGGGCCCCGCGCACCCTGCCCATGTCGTCGCCACAGCTGCAGAAAAGGTCAAAGGCGTTGTCGGAACAAGCGGGGAGCTCGCAGCCGCCGCCGCCCTGCAAAGCGACAGCGGGCGCAGGCTTCGGCTTCGAGCCTCCGCTCTTCGGCCCATTCGTAGGCGGGGCTGTCATATTCCTGGGCCTGGGCGGCGGCGGCCTCAACTCCCAGATGTCTGACTGCAAGAGCGGCGTGTCCAGGACTCGCTGCCGCCGCGGCTGGCGCAATGCAACCCCGCGGCTGTCTGTGACCAACTCGTGCACCCAAATGCCGATCGGCTGCATGGTCCACGCCGCATCGAAACACTGGCGGGCGGCCTGGACCGCAATCAAATTCCGCATGCAGCGTCCGTCATCACCTGCGCTGTCGAACTCAGGAGCGGCGCCCTTCAGGCCGTGGCGGTCCTCCAGCGGCTCCCAGCGCATGCTGGTGAACGTCGGCCTTAAGGGCCTCCCATTGTGAAGGGCGACGTGATACATCCCGCCAGCTCCTTCGGCATGACCTGCTGCGACTACAGCAGATCCAGGGCCAACGTCTGAACTCGACGGCGGGCCATGCGCTGGGGCGCTCGCGCACGTGAACACGAGCACCAGTAATCCATCATCCAGCTTTCTGTCCGATAAATGGCTCACGTCTGTAAACGCGGGCCTTATCCATCCCGTCCCCAGCGGTCAGATTCCTCGCAACTTCCGTGCCTTGTCGCAATGCTCGTCACTTGGTTCCGCCGGGCGTTTCGGAGGGTCTCTCCGCGGCGCTCGTCCCGCTTTAAAACACTTCGCGCACACAACTGGGTTGTTTCGCTTGAAATAATTCTTCTTCTGGTCTTTCGACAAATGGCCCCCGTCTGAAAACGCTGGTTTCTTCCCGTCCCCGTTCGGTGGGCACGCGGAGCATTCAAACTTTTTCGCCCCCGTGCGCGCATCGTGACACGCGCGGCACACGACTGGGCGATGCGCCTGGCCCGTCTTCCTATAATGTACTTTCTGGTTATCGGACAAATGGCTCAAGTCTGTGAACGCGGGCGCCTTCCCATCCGCCCCCGTCGGGCATGCTCCACAACGGAAAATCTGGGCCTCCGATTTTTCGTGGCACGCGCGGCACATGACCGGGCGATGCGTTTGGCCCGTTCTCCTGTAATGTTCTTTCTGACTGTCCGATAAATGGCTCACGTCTGTAAACGCGGGCGCCTTCCCATCCGCCCCCTTCGGGCATGCCCCACAACGGAAAACCTGGGCCTCCGACTTTTCCAGGCACGCGTGGCACATGACAGGGCGATGCGCCGTGCCCGTGTCCCAATAATGCCTTTTCTGACTCACCGTCAAATGGCGTGTGTCCATGATTTCGGGTCCCTTTCCATCCGCCCCCTTCGGGCATGCGGAGCACCGTAGCACCCGCGACTTCTCGTGCTCCTCCTGGCATGATCGGCACATCACTGGTCTATGGCCTGCGCCCGTTTTGTAGTACTTCTGCAGTTGATCCGGCGTCAAATGTCGTGTGTCTGTGAACGTCCCCCCTGTTCCATCCGCTTCTGACGGACACGCAGAACATTTCAGCGGCTTCTGTTGGCGCGCAGCTCGTCGCGCAGCGTTCATCTCGTTCTCGCACTCTCTTTCCTTCTGCGATTTGCTCCACTTGTTCCACCCGCCTTTTCTTTTCCCCGCGCACTTCTTGCAGAGCTTCTCTCCCGCGCTTTTCGTCGCATACTGGTTCGCCGCAATTTCTGCCTCCGTTTTCAGGAATTCCAGGCATTCACCGCATCGAATCTTAAACTTCTCCTGCACCTGCCCCCGCCACGCCTCCGATGTCTTCCGTGACTTCCGTGCGGCGGCGGGCCCTGCGCACCGGTCGCATTTGCTTGTCCGCACGAACACTCTATTCCTTTCGACCCCCCCTCCCGCCACTGTGGACGCCATCTCAGCCCATTGCTCACAAGTCGTGCACCACTTTTCTCCTGCCCCCTTCAAATTCTCCATGCAGTCGCAGCAGAAGCTCGGGCCCGACTTCGCGGCGAACTCATTCGTCGTGAATTCAGCCTTTTCCTTCACTTCGCAGCATTTCCCGCACGTCTTCCGCGGCATCACCTTCTTCTCGATTTCGGACCACGGCAACGTCTCCCCGCGCAACTTTTGCAACAACAGCTTCGTTCCTTCCATGCCTCCTTGCGTGTACGGCTGTCTCGAAAATGGCCGATAGATGAGCAAGCCGCGGCGAGTCTTCACGCGCGTTATGGCCACGTAGCTCGACATCCAGCTGACGTTCCTGCCTTCCTCCAAATCCGCTATAACTGCGTCGAGCGTCCGCCCTTGCGCTGCGTGCGCCGTGCAGGCCAACCCGGGTGAAATTAAAAACTGTCTCCGTCGCACCCCCAACACGGGTTTCTTGCGGTACGAATCCAGGTGCCACGTTCTGGCACGAGGGACAATGGGATAGAGCCCTGGTCCCGGCATCCCTTTGAGCGTCCATTTGTCGGTGTGAAAATCTAACACGATTTGCCTTGGCATCTCACGAAGCACTCTCGACGCCACGTCCTCCACGTCTGGCTCGTCTTCATGTTCAAATGTTTCGTGTCCGAGAACGCGCCTTTGCACGCCGCGCACGTCAGCGGCTTCGCGTCCGCCTCTGCTTTCCGCCTGCGATTCTCTGCATCCGCCTTCTCGTTCCGCCCACCCTTCTCGTTGCGGGCGCACGCCCTGCAAAGCCTCTCCCCCGCATCTTTCGAGTCGTACTGGTTCGGGGGATAAAATCGGGCCATGACGCCCCCAAGACGTCCAAGATTGCCTCAAAAAAAACAAAAAACAAAAAACAAGGGGTCGGCGGTGTGGCGTAAGCCTAAAGATAATCGACGACGGCGCCCTCGTGCACTGCAGCGAAGAGGCCATGGGGGCCATGGACTGCTGCGCAAACAAACCCGTCGCCACGTTGGCACAGGGTGTTTTCGCCCCGCGGCAGAGCACGGAGGCCCTTGGCCCAGAGACAGCAAGAAGGTCTAAGCTTTCACGACTCTCGTGCGCCCACGCGAGTGAGCTCCATATTCGGCCCGTTCCAGCCATAGTACCTGCTCATGTCAATCGTGATGGTGGCGGCTCCCCTGGCCGCGGCGCCAAAGGCAGCGTCTAGCGTCGCCCTTGGACACAGGTGTGGCCTCGGCGGCGGCAAGCAGAGAGAGGGCGCAAAGCATTATGTCAGCAGCGCGGTGCATGGCTCTTCACGGACAGGCTTGCAGACGCAGAGTTCAAGTGCAAGCGCGGCGCCAGTTGCTGGGGGGTGGAGCCTCCAGGAGGATCAGCGTCGCCCGATCGTGGTCTACGCGGCGGAGGCTGGGGCGACTGCAGCTGGCCAGTCCTCAGCGCAGGCGGTCGCGGCAAGAGCAAGCGGAAGGCAGCGCAAGGAGGTGGCGATCATCGACCAGGAGACTACGGCAATCAGTCTGGTGGAGGCAACAACAAGGACGAGAAAGTGGCAGAGCTACTCGCACAAGCAGCAGCATTGGCAGGTGACGGCGCTTGGAAGCAGAAGCTCGATGCCCTTCGTGCCGGAGCGGAACCTCAGCCACCAGCGGCACAGCATCCGCAGCCTGGATCCCGCCAGGCGCTCAGAGCAGCAGAAGATCGAGCACAAAAGGCACAGAGTGCGCAAACGAAGGCGCACAGACGACGTGAGCGGCCACTCGAAGAACTCGTGCAAGCTGAACAGGACTTCAAGCAACGCAGCGCAGAAGTGGCGGCAGCAGAAGCAGACGTCAAGGCCGAGCTCCAACGGCGCCCCCCTGGCGGCGATCTCAGGAGAGACGGCGGCAACGGCGAAAAGAAGCAGCGGGTCTTGCCGCTCGGCGCGCTCCTGGAGGACGAGGAGATCGACGTCGACTCGGGGGGCCTTTTCGAGTTCGGCAGCGACGACGTCAGCGAGGCAGACAAGAAGGATATCGAGCCCAGGAAGAAGCAGTTCCTGGCAGCCGCGAAGGGAGCGGCGAAGGTGGCTTTCGCGCAGGGGGCGGCGGCCCTCAAGCAGCAGAGGCAGCAGGGGCAGGATTTCCTCGATCGGATTCGGAAGAAGCGCAAAGTGGACGCACCCGACGCCGAACTCGGAGGAGACGAAGCAGGAGCGGGAGCACCAGCAGCAGGCGGGACCCCGGCGGGTGCTAGCGCAGCGGGCACGGCACCAGCAGCGGCAGCACCTCCGACGGCAACGGCGGCACCAGCAGCAGCAGCAGAGCTATCCGAGAGGGACGCGAAGGAGATGCGCGAGCTCCCGGCGGCGGTCGAGGCCGCGAGGGTGAACGCTACAGCTGGGCGAGGGGGCGCAGCGAGCTCCTAGCCGCACCATTTTCAAGCAGAACCTCTCGACCTGGGGGCCGAGGCTGAAGAAGCATATCGACTCGCTCGAGGGTGACGTGATCATCTTCCCAGAGACGCATGTCGGCATCGAGGGCGCCAACGAGATCGTGGAGCACCTCGACTTCAGGGGTTTCAAGGCGGTGGTCACGCCGTCCACGAAGAACAAACGCAGCGAATTGGCAATCGGCATCAGCATGGCTATTAGAATGCTTTTGTCGGTAACGTCGATGAGGCGCCTCGCATCGAAGAGGGGGCAGGCAATGGGGCTCAGGCAGCTCAACAGTGAGAGGGGGCCAGGGCCAGTCCACTTTCAGGACATGGTGGCGGCTCAGTGGCGGTGGCGAGGACAGTCGGTTCTCGCCATCGGCGTGTATCTAACATCGTCGATCGGCATGCGCGGCGAGAACCAGCAGAAGATGGCGCGCATAGCGGCGCTCACACGCGGTCACAGCTGGCCGTGGGCGGCGATCGGCGACTGGAACGCGGGGCCGACCGAGATCCGGAAGGCAGGGTGGCTCAAGCTGCTCGACGCGAAGGTGGTGGCGCCAGCAGACGTGAGCTACGCGTGCACGCGCAATCCAGCGCGCATGCTCGATTACGTGGTGTGCTCGGAGTCTTTCCTGATGATCGTGGGCAGAGTGGATGCCGATCGTCGCGATCCTGGCGACCACTGCGGAGCGAGGGTGCGCTTGAAAAGCGAAAGGAAGATCGCGATCCAGCGCGACCTGCAGCTGGCCAAACCTTTCCCCTTGCCCGATTTGCCGCAGAAGAAGGCGGGCCCGAACAGCAAGCGGTCCAGGCAGGAGGCGAAGAAGCAGAGCGAGTACGAGGCAGGTGCATCGAGCGCTGCGAGGAATGCGGAGACTCCGCCCTCCTGGGAGCCCCCACTCCGAAGGTCTGGCGAAGGCGAACGGCGGAAGGACGCGGTCGTCTGCGAGGCCGCGCCGCCCGAGTGCCAGCCAAAAGACGAGATGGAGGGACGAGATGGAGGACCTCTTCGGGGGGTCGAGCGAGGAGGGCGGCGTGCTCAGCGAGGGCGAGGGCGACGAGAAGGAGACAGCCCGCAAGCCCCAGGCGGAGGAGATCTTCGACCTGGCAATCGCCGAGCGCAACACATTGTGGCAGGAGAAGTTCCGCGCGGCGATCACAGAGGACCGCGTCGCGCGGATGCAGCCGGCGCAGTGCGCGAAGGATACGCTCGCCTTTGCCTTCGACGAGGAGGGATCGCGAGAGCTCGGAGCGCGTTACGGCGCATGGGCACACGCAGTGGAGCAGCCCTACATGGCGCCCCTGCAGGTCAAAGCCGAGGAGCGGAGCATCTACCTCGGGCGCGGCGAGGAGGTCAGGTTTAAGAAGGGCAAGGCAAAGCTCGGCATCGGCGTCAGCGACGACCTGGACCAGTCCATCTGGTGGCGGGGCACGCTGGCCTCGTACTTGGTAGAGTTGCAAGTTGCAGCGCTGCGAGGGCAAGGGAGAGAGAACTCAGCGGCTTCTTGATGACTGCGAGGCTCCCAGCAGCACGATGCCCAGCGGCGGCATCACCAACGTGAGAGCGAAGCAAAAGCGGAAATGGCGAGTTGCTCTCAGCGACTTTCACAACATGTCCAACGAGCAAGTGCAGCACCTCGGGGTTGCGGCGCTGACCACACCGAAGAGAGGGAAGCGCACGGAAGTCGGCGAGGCTTCGCTGGCCTGCACCAACTGGGTGCAAGAGCAGGAGGCGGCTGGCAGCGGCAAGCTGCAATGAAAGACGAAGGACAAGCCCAGGTGCAACAACGACGTGCGCAGCCAGGGCGTTACCGCCTCGGACATGGTGGAATACATGGACGCGAAGGGCGCACAGTGGCGGAAGAAGTGGAAAGGGCAACTTCAGCTCGCAGGCCACCTTGCAGCGCCTGGAGCGGTCGCTCGAGGCGGCGATGGAGGAGGACTGGGCGCCCATCACCATTGAGAGTTGCAGCGACGCCATCAACACGATGGCGAAGAGCAAGGCGAAGGGCGTCGAGCAGATGGGAGCCCTCGCCTTCAAGTGGCTTCCTCCCGACGCGCGAAAGGAGTTGCGCGGCGTCGTCGAGGGGTTCGAGCGGGTCGGCACCTGGCCGTGGCAGCTGATGATCACGCTCGTCAGACTGCTAAGGAAGGATACAGGAGGGGACCGAGCGATTGGGCTGCTACCTGAGGTGGTCAAGCTCTGGTCGAAGGTGCGCAGCGAGTACACAAACGAGTGGGTCGTCGCCATGGCGGGGAAGTGGGGCGCAGCGGTCGCAGGGAACAGCGCTCTCAAGGAGGCCCTCGTCCTCTCCTTGTCCGACGAGGTGATCGAGTGGATGCCGGCGAAGGTCTACTCAGTGACGCCCCCCTGGGACTTGGCGGAGTTCTACGACACTCTGGAGCCCCTCCTCATCCTGGACGAGGGGCTCAGGCTCGGCCTACCAGCGCGCAATTTGCACCTGAAGATGCTGAGCCACCTGAGCGCGCGCCTCATCAGAGAGAGGACGACATGCGCAGAGCCGATCGCGCCAGACAGATCGACCTGCGCGGGTGCGAGGCGAGGCATCGACTTCGGCAGGGTCGCCCTCTACGGCGTGCTCGAGAAGGCGAGCAGAGCAGGTGCGCGTGCGGTCGTGGGCCGACGACGTCACGACGAGGATGGAGGGCTCCAAGAAGGGGGTGATCAGGCAGCTCGCAGGGGCAGGCGTGGACTTCGCCACGGGCGCCAAGAAGGCGAAGCTGACTCTCTCCACCAAGCCGGCCCCCATCGGCAAAGACATGGACGTGGCGAAGGAGGTGGCGCTCAAGCTCCACTCGCGAGGGTCACGGTCAAGGTGAAGAGCCAGGCGCCCGACTTGGGCGTCGACCGTGGCCACAGCACCGCGGGCGGCAAGGGCAAGCACGCGAAGCGGGTTGGCCATGCTGATCGACAAGTGGCACGCGCTCTGAAGATGGCGCGTGGTGGTCGACGTGCTAGAGGAGGAGCTGGAACGGCGGTGCAGCGCGGGTCTTTGCCGCGCGCAGCCTACTCTTGCAAGGCGTTCGGGGTGGCGCCCAGCACCGTGCTGAAGTGGCGGCGGAAGCTAGCACCAGCCATTGCCTCGAAGCTGAGGGGACGGTGCCTCGCGACGCTGCTCAGTCGGAAGATCGCAAGAGGAGACTCCGAGCTCGGGGCAATTTTCGCGCTGCTGGACTCGTGGATGCACATCATCAGCGACAAGAACAGGAGGCAAGGGCCCAGCAAAATTCGGCCGAAGAGCTTCGAGAAGGCATCGGAGCTTGACCCGAAGCAGCGCTGGAAGGGCGCGACGGGCATCACCAGAGCGATGGTCAACACGATGCTGGACCTGGGGTGGACCCGCTGGGGCCGCGGCACTGGGTCTCGGGCGACGGCGAAGAGTTCGGCAGCGAGGACCACGGCTCTCGATGGCAACGAGGACACCAGCGGCCTCAAGCAGGCAATCGCCAGCACCATCGAGAAAAAGCAGCGGCAGCAGGCGGCCAAGCACTACGCAGGCTGTGGCCTGGAGCAGGGCGTTGACATGCGCTCAGCGAAAGCACGCACCAAGAGGTTCAGGAAGAAGGGGGAGTACGAGGTCGGCGCGCATTTGGCGTGCATGACTGGTGGCGTCTCGCCGCGACAGCGCGTGGCCGATCTCAGGCTGGAGATAGAGAACGTCACATGCCCGCGATGCGGAGAAGCACCCGAGACGTGGAAGCATCGCATTTGGGAGTGCACGTGCAACGGGCCGATCGAGGCGTGCCAGAAGTCCCAGCGCCTTGAAGGGCATGCAGCACGCGGCGCCGAGGAGCTGCACTGCCTGTGGCTCAGAAGCATTTTGCCCAAGTCGTGGACGCAGGTACCTCCTCCGCCAGAGCCAGGCTTCGAGCTGCCCGAGCAGATCGGCACCCTAGAGAACCTCAGAGGCGCATTCTCCCCAGGTAAGCACTGCCCACCCTACCGGCCCGAAGGGCATTGGAGGGCAGAGAGTGCCGACCTCGGGGGGGCAAGCCCAGCAGGTGCAGAGGGGTGGCTCATCGCGGCAGGCGACGCGTCAGGAGCGAGTACACCATGGACCCCAGGCTCAGGACGCGTGGCGCGGGGCTGGGTCGTGTTGCAGACGGAGAACGCGAACGAGCCGATGGTGGTAGCAACTTCCCGCGCAGCACTGGGCGGTTGGAGGCAGAGCGTGAAACGCGGCGAGCTGATGGCGTTGAAGGGGCGATTGGTGGCCACCAGAGAATACCAGAAGGTGCAGTACACAGCGGACTCGTCCTACGTCATGAGAGGCGCGGCGAAGCTCCGTCGCGGCAAGATGCCCCAGACGCGCGTCGACCTGTGGAACGAGCTGAAGGAGGCCATGGTCGGCAGAGGGCCCCGCTTGATCAAGGTCGAGAGCCGAATGTCGGCGGGCGAAGCAGTGGCGGCAGGAGTGGGCCCGATCTGCTACCTGGGCAACTCGCTGGCGGATAGTTTCGTGGACGGCATCATCGAGAGGGCGCAGGTGCCTAGAGGAGATGCACGCAGGGTCGGCTGGTGCGACGGGATCGTCACGCTGATCAGGAACAGAGGGCATGCGACGCTGATGGAGGCCATCGAGGTGGAACCGCACATGGCACTCAGCAAGCCCCAACAACACGAGGCTTACCTCGAGAAGAACCGGAGGAAGCAGCCCCGGACAACGCGCAGCACGTGATCGAGACGGTCAACGGTGGCAAGCACTTCCGCTGTTCGAGGCGCGGAAGCTTGGTGCCCGTCGTCGGCGGAGACGCGGGCAAGTGGTTGGAGGGCGAGCGCGCGAAACTGGAGCGGGACCAGGCGTCGGAGTTCGGCGGCCTCAGGCGCGCGGGTCGGGCGCCAGACGGCCCACGCGTCGCGCAAGGTGAAGTGCAACGAGGAGCTCGGCCTGCACTGCTGCGCGAGGTGCGGATGCATCTCGATGGAGCCCACGCGGTCGCTCGCGAAGGAGTGCGGCGAGCGGAAGCAGATTGGCGAGCAGAACCTCGCCAGGGTCCAGCAGGGGCACCGGCCTGGCACGATCAAGCTCGCGCTGGAGTGGCACCGCAATAAGAAGGAGTTGATGAGGTGAGCGGCGCGCCGTTTGCGCGCCCTCGCCATCGCACTTCCCCCAGCCTGGGGGGCCGACGCCGCGGGCCAGGTCTTGCAAAAACCATGGGCCGCTGCGCCGCCAGGCCAGCAGCGGGGGAAGCGGCCGCGCCGCCAGCCACCAGACTCCATTCCCGCCCAAGTCCTGGCAACTCGGCGTCCGACTGCTGATGCAGACGCGCGGCTGCCGCCATGACCTCGCGGCGGCCCCTCTTGATCTGAGCCTCGCGCATCGCGCCGACCAGCGCGCCCTGCAAGGCGACCAGTGACGGGCATCGCGCCGCTGCCGTCGCCCTCGGCGGCGACGGCGCTGGGTGCGACCACGCGGCGTCTCGCGCCAAGAATGGCGCCCCCGCGAGCAGCCCTCGCAGTGGGCCCGGGTGCCCGCCGCCCAGCTACATGCCCCTGTATGGCGACCGCCGCCGCGTGCTCGCAAGGCGCGCGCCCCCCGGGCGAGAGGCCGTGAAATCGGGCGGAAAGCTCAGGCCCGACCGACTGGTCCATGAACGCACCGCCAGCCTCCGCGTGGACGAACGCTCGCCAGACCCATGCGTATGTATGCTGTGGTTGTTGCGGGCGCCTGGCGTGCAGAACTCGCCCCCGCTTGGCCTCGGCGATCGCGCGGTCGCCCCAACTCCGAAAGACCGACCGCTGCCGCTTCCGCGCCGGGCGGCACAGGAAGAATCCCGACAGCGACGTCGAATCAATCCCCCACCTGAGATGGCGCGACTTGCCCTGCATCTGGCTCTCGCTGCGCGAGCGCTCGGCCGCGGCGGAGTTTGTCTGCGTCGCGGGCAGCGCGCCAGCGTGCTCGGCCCTCGCCATGTCGCCGTTGACGCCGCCCCGCTCGCCGTAGTAATTCATGAAGTCCGTCGAGGAGGCTCTGCGGGTTGCGCGAGCTGCCGTGCGTGTCTGACTTCCACCAGCTGTGTCTGACTTCCACCAGCTCGCATGCGCTCGCCGAAATGCGCGCGCGCAGCGTGGACGACTGCAGCTGCTGGGACTCCGCAGGGCGGGAGAGCGCAGGCCAACTGTCATCGAGTACGAGCTCGCCAAACCGCTGCCGAAGGCGTTCGACATCCTTGCAATCGGCCGCCTCGCAAAGGGGGATGCGCGCGGCGCCCCTGCTCAAGGGGCCGCCGTTGCTGTTTCAGCTCTCATTCGATGCCACTCCGCTTGAGCTCTCTCATAATAGTCTCGTTGCAAGGCTCGCGGGGGCGGGTGAGAGCGCGCAGCGCGTCGTGGTACAACCCGCCCACGAGCCAGTATAGAGCGCGGGAAACCTTAGCTGCGTTGTCCTCCCTCCAGACACTGACTGGGGTGACCTGCCCCGCGTCGCCGCCGCCGTCGGCCATGCCGACCGAGGTCGCCGCCTTGCCTGTCGCCGGTGTCAGCGGGATCGCCGACGGGCATATGCACGCGGATGAACACGACAGGGAACGCAGACGGGAGGAGGCCGTGGACGAACGAGACGGCGCCGAGCTCGCCGAGGCAAAGGCGCGCACCAGCCCAGTTCTTCCTGTCCATGACATGGCCCATGTGCCTCGTCAAGGCTCGAAGGCCACATGTCTGCATAGGATGCAGCGTCTGCGATCGGGACTTGCAGCGCCCCGCGCAAATGTGCTCAGCGCGGTCTGACCGCCGCAAGTTGCCATTCCATAAGCCCCGCGCCAATCGTCGCCGAAAGTTGTTGCCAGATGACCGCGCAGGGAGGAACGTGTCACGCGCGTGCTGGGCGCGCGCAACACCGGCGCCCTCCGTCGAGCAGCCGCGGGCGATGGCGAGCCGCTCGGCCAGGAGGTCCCGCGTCGCATTCATTATCCGGGGCATGCCCCCCCTCATGGCAAGCAGCATGCGGATGAGCATCGCGTCGGTCGGCCTCTGGATTGCGAGCCCCAAGTTCGCAACCTTCGGCTTCTCATGGGCGTCGCAGCAGAGGTGCAAAAGGGCTGGCGGGCGCGACGCAGCAGCTCGGCGAGCACTCTCACAACGAGTGTTCGCATCAGCCTCGTCGGCGATGGCAACGTCGACGTTCCTGAGAGAAAAAAAAAAAAACATGCGCTCCAACTCCACATCGACGCTGCACGCGAGGTGGGCCAACGCCGCGTTGGTGGACTCAGCCTTCGCCCCATCTGATGTGCGCAGCAGCGTGGGCCCCCTGATCAGCAGGGCCGAGAGCCTCGACTGCGGGCGGGCCCCCTTTCATCGAGCAAAACGCCCGCGATGCACTTGAAACGTGCACCTCGTACTTGGCAGCCGACGGCTCGACGATCGACGCACTTCCTGATCCGACCGACGGGCTCCATTCGCCGACGACTCTCATAAACTGCGTGGCCCCGTCGTGCGAGCGAAAACGAAAATGAACCAACGGATTCAATGCCTCTCCGCGCCCAGCGCCGCCGCTCCCTGCCCTGCACACCGACAACAATGACCTGGCGAAACGCTCGAACGCGCCGCGCAACCCCTGGAACGTCGCGTGGTTGATAGCGTTACAAATCTCGTGCCACGATCCTGCAGTCACGCAGCACTCACGGCGGAGCTTCGTCACGGTGGCCAACGCCGTCGACCTGCCCAGCGCGGCGTCCAACAAAAACGGTGTGAGACGAGGCGCTCCAGAGCTCAGCATGTCCGATGGCCGCGGCTGCAGGGGCCGAGCGATGCCTTGATCAGTATTCGGCAATGTCCTGCCGCCACGCTTCAACACTGATGGGGGCGCGTCGGCGGCCGCCGCGCTCAGCGCGAGCATGTCCAGACCTGGCCCGTCTCCGTCAACCGCTGCCTGCCCATGCGCAGCACCTGCGACGGCAAACGGCTCGTCGTGGCTGCAGGCTAGAAAATCCTCGTCGCTCTCTGGCTCGGATACGCGCGGGGCGCCCTCCGCATCCGCCAGGCAATCCTCATCGCCCGAAGAACCGCGCGAGGACTTGGCGAGAAAGTCTTCGTCCGACGAGTAATCGTCGGGCATGCAAGCCGAGGCGGAACGCCATGAGCCACGCAGATTAAGCGTTGGAGGGGGTGAGGGGAGAGAGGGTGGAGTTCGGTTGCACGTTCCCCAGGGGCGATGTTTGACCAGGGCCTGCGGATCCATGCGCACAGCGTGTTTCCCTCGGGCGCTGGGGGGGTACCTCATCAAACCTACGCCCTTGAACCCGCCTACACATAGCTGCACGAGTGGGCGGTTTTGGCTAGGGCCTGTGGATCCCTGCAGGCGGTGCAAAGCAAAATTCACTTCTCGGGCAAACCTACGCTGTAGAACCTACCTGCACATAGCTGCACGATTGGGCGTTTTTGGTTTTGGCCAGGGCCTGTGGATCCCTGCAGGTGGTGCAAAAAAACATCCCTCGGGCACTGGGGGGTGACCTCATCAAACCTACTCTCTGGAACCCCGTAGGAGCCCTGCGTTGTTGCTGCGTGAGAGGCCGCGTGCAACGCGCGACTGCAATGCAATGCCGCGTGCAACGCAACGCTGCGTGCCATGGGAGACACAACAATGCTTTACGCAACGCGCATGTGGAGAATGATAGAAGATGGAACGGTCATTTCGGGGGCATGAAGTGGCGATATAACTTTTCTCGGGCCGAGGCGCGGCCCATCAAACCCTGATGCCAGGAATATCGCAGCCTCTGGCGTTCGAACGAATGGGCAACCCGCGCGGCCCCATCAGAACCCCATCAGAACCCGGTCAACCCCAGATCCCACTGGGATGCCCGAAACTGCTATCCAATGCCTGTTCTCCTAAGTGTCAGTGTGTCCGTCTCTCTGCGCCAGTCAGCCTGTCCTTGTTTGTCTGTGGTCTCAGTCGGCTGTCTGCTCGCCTAGTAGTTCTCGAAATCGTTCAACTTCAAATGAGCGTCGCATAACCGACCCCTATCCACACTGGCGTGGCCTGGGCCCCACTTGCCGGAAGTGGTGGTGCAGGAACAACAACTAAAGGCAGAAGAAAGTGACCTCGGACGCTCCCGAAGCAACCATCGGGCCAGAGAATATAGAATCGAGCTGGGAATCGGGATGGGAGGAAGGAGGCGTGAGAGCAGAATGATGAAGAGTAGGACGAGGAGAGGACGAGGGAAGGGCAGAAGCTGGCACCTCATGCGCTCTAGGCCCCTCGGGGCCGCTGCGCGCAATTTCCCCTGCTGAGGGTCGCGCCATGCCGTGGACCTCATCCTGTATCCGCTCCTGACGGGGGGATGGGGCCACCGTGACACAACAGAGCGCAAGGAAGGATCGCGGGGCAACTTCAGGCGGATGGGGCAAGGACCGTGAGGAGCGAGAAGTCGCAGCGGCAGCATCAGAGGGAGGGGATGGGGGGGAGTTGGAGGATGATGGCGAAGATAAGGTCGATGAGGAGCATGAAGAGGATGAGGAAGGAATGACGAATAGCGAGGACGAGCGAAAAGGAGCTGGGAGGATCGAGCAGGACGGATAACGATGATGACGGGGAGCATGGTGCGGGAAAGGAAGGCGGAGAGAAGGCGACGGGGATGTTTAGTTTGTGGGGGTGATGGCGAGGAGGAGAAGGAGGTGAATGAGGGGAGGGGAGGAGAGGGACTGGGTGGGAAAAAATGCTAAGGAGCAGCATGGAGGATGGAGGAGGAGCAGGAGGATGACAAGGGATGAGAAGGTGGAGGAGGGGAAGGAGGATGGCCAGAGAGGAAGGTCGGGGAAGCGGAGGCGGAAAGGAGAGAAGGAAGCGATGGGCGAGAGTGGACAGGAGGGGAACGGTTGACTAGGGAGGTGGAGAAGGGAAAGCATGAGGAAGGGGGTGGTGGTGGGGAAGTGGAATTCGCGCGCGCTCTGCAGCACACGTGGATCTCACGATGTAGCCCGCATGACCGAGCGAACGTGGGCCCATGCAACGTGACCTACACCACAATGATATACCGAGCGCTTTACGGGACGTCGGCCAACTCTCGACAGCCTCCACACTCTCCCCCCACATCCGACGCATGTGCAGCGCGGCCTCATCCATTTTCAAATCAGACATGCCATCGGCGGGGCGCGGCGCTCCGAGACCACACGACTAGCTAGTCGCAGACTGGGAGGACCGTCAACAAAACAACGAAACTTCACCGACTGGGGCCCCTGGCTTGTCCCAGATAATGGGAGGCCGCATGCGCGGCTACTCTCACATGAAACTGCATTCGCGTTGTGAATTTGTGGATGGGAGGCAACGGAAAGATGCCAGGAAAGGACCGGCATGGGGAAGAGGGAAGGATGAACAAGTGGGAGTCCCGGATTCCTTCTTCCAAATTCCCTGTTCCCCGCACCGCTCGGCTGCCATCAACATCCAAGCCCGCCTCCCTCAAGGAAAGCCTCCCTCAAGGAAAGCCGCCCTGAGGACGCGTGCAGCGCCAGTCAGAGAACCTTGCTTGGACAACGATGCGGCATCCTCGTTCAACAATATTGGCCCAAAGAACCTTCCACAAGCAACCGTCCTCTGTGGCCCAGGAGGGACCTCGCTTTACGAGGAACGCCTAGGAAAACAATGCACCTGGCGCGACCCCAAGCAAAGGAACGCTCAACGGCATTGCTTGGCAGTGTACGGATCAGCCTGATTCCCATTGCATTGCATTGCGGGGCGCTGCTGGACATTGCTAGGCATTCCTTGACTTTACTTGGCGTTGCTTAGCACTGCTTTGCGATGCGTGGCATCACTTTGCGATGCTTAGTATTGCTTGGCGTTGCCTGGCGATACTTGACATCGCCTGCTTGGCATTGCGGAGCATTGTTTTGCATTGCTTGGCGTTGCTCGGCATTGCTTTGCGTTGAATGGCATGTCTTTGCATTGGTTTGCGACGCCTGGCGTTGCTTGGCGTTGTACGGTGTTGCTCCGTTGGCATTGCATGACATTGCGTTGCATTGTTTGGCACTGTTTGGCCTCAATTGGCATTGCTTGGCATTGCTCGGGGCTGCTTGACGATCTGGGGGAACGTCTCTTCAAACATAGGAACAAGACAGAACCAAATAACCCAAATAACAAGCGAAACAAAAACATGCTTGTCAAACGGAATCAGAATTCAAGACAAAGGAGCCCGGGGGGCCCGAGGAAGACCGGCCTGTCAAAGCAGTGAGGAAGCAAGACCAGATAACCAAGGGAACCCAAGGAACCTGAGGAAGGCTGGCCGGCGCTAGGCCGCGCACCCACACCTTAGGCGAGCCCAAATGGTCGACGAACAGAACGGGGTCTTACGCGAGATGACATAGCGACCTTACGCCGCGGCTCACGTGGACCGCCAGCGCGGCACACTGCATTGGAAACGAGGGCGCTTATGAGAGACCTTACGCTGGGAGCCTACGCGCCAATGCCGGCGCAGACGACCCCTATTTCTTCCGAACCAGGGTGATCCTTATCACAATGTTCTGAAAATGCTGCCCCGAACCAGCAATACCGTGCAAACCTAGAATGCCAGAGATCAAAACCTCAATCTTTTTGTTGGTAGACAGACGTGACAATATGATACGTACTGCACGGCGACACACCGGGTTCCCATGTACCTATCACTAGGCGAAGCGCCCGTAGTCGCCCCCCTCCACCCCCATCCTCCCCATCACTCTATGCTGCGTGCTGAATAGGACGAAAATAATGCCTTGTTGCGGTTGGTTCAGGATACGTGCTGGGATTTCCAGAGCTTCTAGCGGCCCTCGGCCATTCGTACTCGGCCATTCGTTTCTGGCTGCGCGGGACACCAGGAACACATTGAAGCCTTGAAGCTCATAACTACCATGACTTCTCTCTCTTCTGAATGAGGGCGGTCACAAACGGGAAACTGGTGCTCCAAGTTGCCCACTGCTCAGCACACAATGTGTCTCGTAATCGCTCGGACGTCCATTCAACGTTCACGTTTCGGCTTCGTGCGTTTATTTTCTGGCAAGATGATCCAAGATGCTCCTCCATGATCCTCGCCGAAGAAACTCCACGATGCCAAGGAATGAGGTCCGTCACAAACGGGAAACTGGTGCGCTCCAAGTTGCCCACCGCACAGCACTCAATTTGATGCAACATGCAGATTGAGATGGGGCCCGGGCCTCTGGCGTCGCGCTTATTTGTTACGATGTGGTTCCCAGGACTCACCCCGCTCCCATTTGTTGTTCGTCGTGGATGGGTTTGTGCTTCTGCCTAGATCTACAAAAGGCCACCAGAGGCCGAGAAACAAAACAAGAGCGCATGGCGTTTTCAACGGCGCCAGAGGCATGGTGAGAAAAGGAGATATAGAGAGAGAAAGAGCGGAAGAGAGGCACTAAACAAACTGCATTCCTAATACCTTTCACACAGCTTCTGGCGCGCATCAATGCAAGTATCGGCTGAAGCGGTCACACGCCTCGTTCGCGAAGCTCCTCATCCTTCCCCGTCACCCTGCCCTCTCCCCCATCCCCCTCTCAAACACTCCCTGCCACCTGCAACTCCCTCTCTCCCTCCCTCGCCCTCCCTCCCTCGGAGGCTGACGAAGATACTTGTGTGAAGCGTAAGGCCAGAAACAAAAAAGTGGCGTTGAGACGAAGAGAAACACAACGGACAAACAAAAACTCCAGCTTCTCCCGGAGTACAGCCGCGTCCCATTCCGCCTTCGGCGCCGGCGCCAGCGGTCGTGCCGAAGCATCCACCTCCCAAGAGTTAAAGGGAAGCGCGAAGAGGGATGAGGGCAGGAGGGCAAAGACTGCACGCGTGAGCAAGAAGCAGCGCGAGGAGGGAGCAGGGAAAACGACAAAAGAGGACGGGAAGGCCAAGCACGCGACGAAGGCGAGCCATTTTTTAGCATGAGGACGCGACGACCTTACGCTGAGGCTTGCGCAGGCCTCTATCGCGGCGCACCCCTTAGAAACGAGAGCAGTTACGCACGACTTTACGCGGGCAACTTGCGCGCGCATGCCCGCGCAGTCCGCACTTGCTTTGGTCCCTCAAGACGATCATTGCGCTGCTGATGAAAATTGCAGTCGTGGGAAAGGGACTCCACCATGCTAAGGACCAGCCGCGAAGGAGGAAGACCACCTCGCTTCATTCTCCCTCCCTCCCTCCCTCCCTTCACCTGCCCGCGCAGTCCAACCTTTTTGCTCACATGCAGCAGGAGTCCGAAAAGGGCCACCAGGGGTCGTCGGGCAACGAGATCCAAGAGGAAGACGAGGGACGACAGGGCCAAGCCGAAAGAGAGACCATGCTCCGAATTTGCTTCAGGAGGGTCAACGCCCCCCCTGAAGGGACTCCGACAACGGGTACGTTGGCCAGCGTCGCGGCGAGCTCCGGCCGAGGCGGTCAATGTTCCAATGACTGGGTCGGGCGGGCGGACCCCAACAGGCGGGTCCGCTCAGGCGGGCAGGGCCCTAACGGGCAGGACGGGTCGGTCGGGCGGGCGGGCCCTAACGAGCGGGTCGGGTCGGGTCGGGCGAGCGGGACATTACAAAATGATGCATCATCGAATTGGAACGCGAATGCCCTGACGGGCGGGGCGGGTCCGGCAAACGGGCGGACACTAACGGGCAGGACGGGTCGAGTCGGGCGGGCAGAACATAACGGGCGGGAAGGGTCGGGTCGGGTCGGGTGGGACATTACGATATGATGCATTATCGAAATTCGCCGGCCCAACGGGCCAGAGGAGTGCTAAGATCTCCGGTAACTGGTTAACAATTTTCTAGTTCGCGCGCGCGGGGCGGCCCCTGGGGGTCCCCGGACGAAAAGTACCCCGACCAGGTCCCGGCCGGGTCCCCCCGAGCGCTCCATGAGCGCACCAACAGGGCTCCGAGACGTCCCCGAGAGCCCCAAGAAAGGCCAAGAGGCCCCCAAGAGGCCCCCAAGATGGTACACGAGGGGTCCGACATGCCACAAGATCGCTCCAAGACGCCCAAGATAGCCCCCAGACGCCCCAAGAGGCCTCCAAGAGCACTCCCAATAGGGCCCCCGGAGGCAAAAATCATTGTTTTTCCATAGGTTTTTGAGAGATTTTGGAGCTTCCACCTTTTCGGCTTCCCGACGCCCCAAGACGGCCCAAGAGGCCCCCAAGATCGCCCCAAGAGGGCCCAAGAGGCACCCAAGAGGGCCCCAAGATGGCCCAAGAGGGCTCGAAGACGGCCCAAGAAGCCTCCAAAACGGTCCAAGAGGGCCCCAAGAACGCCCCCAAAGGGGCCCCAGAGAGGGAACACGAAACAACATTTCGAGCCCTCGGCCCTAAGAAGCCCCTACGAGGCCCCTAAGAGGCCCCAAGAGGCCCCCACGGGGCCCTCAGGAGGCCCCCAAGAGTCCCCCAAGCGGCCCCAGGAGGCCCCCCAAATGCCCCCCCGAGCGCCCCAGGAGTCCCCCAAGCGGCCCCAGGAACCCCCAAAGCGCCGCATTGACACCAGGCCCTCGGGCAAACGGCAGACATGAGACTGTATGGGCCGGCGGAATGAGCGAAGCGATTAAATAACCAGCGAGTGCCCTAACGGGCGGAGAAGACTGGGCGGGCGGGCGGACCCTAACGGGCGGGACGGGGCGGGTCGGGCGGGCGGACCCTAACGGGCGGGTCGGGTCGGGTCGGGCGGTAGGGACATTAAAGTCTGATGCGTCATCGAATTGGCACGCGAGCGTGCCAACGGGCTAGCGGGTCGGGCGGGTCCTGACGGGAGGGACGGAGTCAATTGCCTCTAACTGACGGTCAGTCGGAGGCAACTCAGCTGGTCAATTGCCTCCAACTGACGGTCAGTCGGAGGCAAATCAGTTGGTCAATTGCCTTCAACTGACGGTCAGTTGGAGGGAACCGGCGGTCAGTTGGAGGCAACTGATCAGGTCAGTTGTCGCCAACTGCAGTCAGTTGGAGGCAACTGAACTGGTCAGGTGCTTCCAATTGACCGTCGGTTGGAGGCAACTGACAAGGTCAGTTGGAGGCAACTAACCAAATCAAATGCCACCAACCGACGGCCATTTGGAGGTAACTGACGGTCGGTTGGAGGCAACTGACCAGCTGAATTGCCTCCAACTGACGGTCAGTCGGCAGCACCTGTCCAGGTCAAGCGGAGGCAATTCAGCCGGTCAATTGCCTCCAACTGACCGTCAATTGCCTCCAACTGACCGGCAATCGGGGGCAACTCAGTTGGTCAGGTGCCTCCAACTGACCGTGAGTTTCCACCGACTGTCGAATCAATTGGAGGGAACTGACCTGGTCAATTGCCTCCAACTGACTGGCAGTTGGGGGCAACTGACCAAGTCAATTGCCTCCAACCGACCGTCAAGTGCCTCCAACTGAAAGGTCGGGTCAGTGGAAGCTTGCGTTGTGATGCTTGTGATCGCCTGTGCGGGCATGCGCCCGGGCCCCTTAAGGGCGAGGCGGGTGAGGCCATGGCCTCGCATGAGAATCTGCGCGCGTCGGGGGTCTACTCAGGTTACTAAGTACTTCAGGAACTGATTTCCCGACAGTCCCCACTCATCCGTCTTCTTATGATGTAGCCACGTCGTCTCGTTGAAATCGTAGTTCTTGTGGTGTGAGACTGTCGAAGAAACCCGTGGGTGTCATCGTCCTTTGTGTGATCTCGAACTCATAGCAAAAAACGTTCGATTTGAACTCCTCGGACCTCCAATCCACTGCACATGGGTTTGGGAGCACTGGTGTTCTCGTGAACTCTGTGCCACATCCTTAAGGTACCACTCAAAAAACATATCACCACGTGCAATTGAAAGCCCATACGTGCTCTGTGACACACCCAAGAGATCAGCTAGAGGTCGATTGGTGGTGGACGTGGAAGTCAAATGTGAGAGGTTGGAGGTCTGAATGTTGTGCTGGTGGAGGTTGGTGGTTGATTGGTGGAGGCGGAAGTCCAGAGTCGGATGCTGGAGGTTGGAAGTTAAAACTCTGAGTTGATGGAACCCAAAGTCGATAGACAGAGTTGGCAGTGTAGAGTTGTATGCTAGATAATGGAGGTCGTAGTGTTGAGTTGATGGACGCTGGAGGTCGATTGATGGAGGTGGGAGTGGAAAATTGGATGCGCGAGGTTGGTGGTCGGAGTGCTGAGCTGGTGAACGCTGGAGGTCGATAGGTGGAGCTGGAAGTGGAGAGGTGTGCGCGAGAGGTTGAAGGTCGTGCTGTTGAGCTGATGGACGCTGGAAGTCAGTAGGTGGATGCGGAGGTGTAGAGTCGGATGCTGGAGATTGGAAGTCGGAATGCTGAGCTGGTGGGCGCTGGAGGTCAATAAGTGGGGCTGGAAAAGGAGAGGTGGGCGCTAGAGGTTAGCGGTTAGCGTCGGAATGATGGGCTGGTGGGCTCTGGAGGTCGATCGGTGGAACTGGATGTGGAGAGACGGATGCTAAAAGCTTGAGGTCGGAATGCTGCGATCATGGGCGCTGGAGGTCGGTAAGTGGAGGTGGAAACGGAGAACCGGATGCGAACAGCTGGAGGTCGGAATGCTGAGCAGGTGGTCGCTGGAGGTCGGTAGGTGGAGGTGGAAACGGGGAGTCGGATGCTGAAAGCCGGCGGACGGAATGCTGAGCTAATGGGCGCTGGAGGTCGGTAGGCGGATGTGGGAGTGTAGAGTCGGATGCTGAAGATTGAAGTCGGAACGATGCGCTGATTGACGCTGGAGGTCGATAAGTGGAGCTGGAAGTGGAGAGGTGGATGCTAGAGGTTGGGGGTCGTACTGCTGAGCTGGTGGGCTCTGGAAGTCGATAGGTGGAGCTGGATGTGGAGAGCCGGATGCTAAAGGCTGTAGGCCGGAATGCTGAGATCAAGGGGGCTGGAGGTCGGTAAGTGGAGGTGGAAACGGGGAGTCGGATGCTGGAGATTGGAAGTCGGAGTGCTGAGCTGGTAGACGCTGGAGGTCGATAGGTGGAGCTGGAAGTGGAGAGGTGGATGCTAGAGGTTAGCGTCGGAGTGATGAGCTGGTGGGCTGTGGAGGTCGGTAGGTGGAGCTTGAAGTGGAGGTCGGGTCAGTTGAGGGGAACTAATAACATAGTCAATTGCCTCCAACTGATTGTCAATTGGAGGCAATGCAGCTGGTCAATTGCCTTCAACTGTCGGTCAGTTGGAGGCCACTCAGCGGATCAGTTGAAGGCATCTCGGCGGGTCAGTTGGAAGTGAATTGCCTCCAACAGACCCGCTGAGTTGCCTCCAACTGACCGTCGGTCACTCGGAGGCAACTCGACGGGTGGGGCGGGGGACGGGGCGCGGCGCCACCCCGTCCCCCGACCATCCCGGAAATTGCCTCCGCCTGACCGTCAATTGGAGGCGACAGACCGTCAGTTGAAGGCAAATGGCGGCCAGTTCGAGGCAACTAACCAGGTCAGGTGCTTCCAAATGACGGTCAATTGCCTCCAACTGGCGGTCAATTGCCTCCAACTGGCCGTGAAATGCCTCCAAATGACCGTCAGGTGCCTCCAACTGACCGTCAGTTGGAAGCAACTGACCTGGTCAATTACCTCTTACTGACCGTCGGGCGGACCCTAACAGGCGGGTCGGGTCGGGTCGGGCGGGGCATGAAAGTAGGATGCATCATCGAATTGGCCAAACATCTGGCGGGCGGCCTGACCCAAACAGGCGGAATGGGTCGGGTCGGGCGGGCGGACTCCACCGGGTGGAACGGATCCGCTGGGGCGGGCAGGACCCCGACGGGCGGGTCAGATCAGGCGGGCGGGACATTCAAGTATGATGCATCAACGAAAAAGCCCGCGAGTACCCTAGCGGGCGGGACGGGTCGGACGGACCCTGGCGGGACGGGTCGGGTCGGGGAGGCGGACCCTAGCGGGCGGGTCGGGCCGGGTCGGGCCGGGCGGGACATTAAAGTCTGATGGGTCATCGAATTGGCACGCGAGTGCCCTGACGGGCGCGCGGGCGAACCCTAACGGGCGGGGTGGGTCGGCTCTGGAGGGCGAGCCCTAACGGGCGGGTCGGGCCGGGTCGGGCGGGCGGGACATTAGAATACGGTGCGTCAGCGAATGGGCACGCAAGTGCTCGAACGGGCGCGAAGGGCCGGGCGGGCGGGCGCGCCCTAACAGGAAGGTCGGGTCGGGTCGGGCGGGTGGGACATTACAATATGATGCATCGACGGGTTTGCACGCGAATGTCCTAACGGGCGGGGCGGGGCGGGCGGGCCCTAATGGGCGGGGCGGGGCGGTCGGGCGGGTCGGCCCTGACGTGCGGGCGGGCCATGTCGGGCGGGCAGGACATTAAATGTTGTGCATCATCGAACTAGCGCGCGAGTGCCCCAACGGGGCGGGTCGCGGGGCGGGTCGGGTCGGGCGGGCGGGCGGGGCCCGAACAAGCGGGTCAGTTCGGGCGGGCAGGGCCCGAACGGGCGGGTCGGGTGGGCGGGCCCTAGCTGGCGGGTCGGGCCGGGTCGGGCGGGGGGGGACATTAAAATGTTCATTCTTTCTTCCAGAAGAGTGCTGAGGCGACGGCGACGCGTCGTGTGGGCCATTGTCCCGCACAACCAGGCAGAGAAACGTAGCAATTGCAAAGGCTTTGGGTTGGCGAGGGCAGAAGCGATGGCTACCGAGCGAAATCGAGCGGACGTGTAAAATGAACAATACCGTGAACTACTATGTTCATTCTTTCTTCCAGAAGAGTGCTGAGGCGACGGCGACGCGTCGAGTGGGCCATTGTCCCACACAACCCACCTTCATGAGGAAAACCCGCCTCCACGCAATGCGCCGGTCTACCGCATTAAATTCCAAAGTCGTTTGGCCCGAAGAGACAAGTAACTGCGCGAGAATTCAGGAGCGAGCGCCAAACAGAGGCGCGGTGGGTATGCAGCTTTGAGACGGGTCAGGAAAGCAGTCTTAGACGCACCTGTCAAAACGATGTGAGGCTTGCCCGAAAACGTGCATATTCCTCCGCCCTTGCACTGCCAGGTGTACACCTCGTGCGGCATTGCGAAGTTGGCTAACAACATGCGTGTGCGGACGCGAAATGGGCGTCCCGCGCCGCAATAGTCAAACACAATTTCCTTGGCACTAGCGTGAGCACAAAAGCGCCGTCGGCTGGGCAAGAGCCAGAGGAGGCTGGAAGCAAGATTCTCTTCCCCCGCCGGCAGCTGCCGCGAGAGGACAATCCGTAACAAGACCGCTATTCTGTCAGAGAGCTTGTGGGAGTCAACGACTGTTTGATAGTCGGCGCCCTCCAGGCCAGGAAGGCCCCGCAGGTGTTCTTTGGTTCGAAGACGGCGGGGCGCGACACTGCGTGGCGGCGCGCGGCGGGCTTGAGACCATTTTTCGCAGGGGCTGCTAAACATGCCCCACATGATGCCTGACTCTAGCCAGCCCCGCAAGGTGCGGAACACGTCGTCCTGTAGCAGGTCGCACTCAGGGCCAAGCAGCAGATCAATTGATACTACAGCGTGACCTCTTTTCTGGAGCTCCGCGGCGAGCCCGCCGGCTCCTGAGAAGAGGTCGAGACGCGCCCGTCGTTCTCCAAGCCTACCTGCACGGAGGGCTGCGCGAAGGCGCTGCCGAAGAGCCTCGGGGCGGCCGCCGCCCAGCGCTCGCGCTCGTCCTTCCGTTCGTCGCCGAGGCTCCGCAGCGCCAGCGCCAGCCGCCCGGCCTTGTCGCATCTCCTGGCCGACGCGGCGGCTCGCCACATCCCGCGCCTCTGGACTTCCAGTAGCGATCGGCAGCCTTCTGCGCGATCGTGCGTCGCGCCTCCGCGCCTCAGACAGTGAGGAGCGAAGCCCAAAGCGTCGAGCTTGAGGTGCTGAGAGGCAATGTGGATGTCGGCAAAGAGCTGCGAGTAGGCGCGACAAAACAATGGTTTGTCCTCTCGCAGGAGGGGCTGAAGGCGTAGAGCAGCGCGTCCAATCCAGTGATGTCGGGGTAGATCGAACGCCACTGTGGAGTCGAACTCGCCCGTCTTGGAGCTGATTGCCAGCTCCTCTGGATGAAGGATCAGCAGCGGGCTACGCAGGACACCGACCCCATACCCCGCCGCCAGCTGCTTGGCCAGCAGGGTCGTGGCCTCCGACGGGCGCAGGTAGCACTCGAACATCGCCAGGATGCACAGCCCGGAGTCTGGCTTCCCCGGCGAGGCCAGCGCCGCCGCGAACGCCAGCGCCAGCAATCGAGGAAGCGGCGGGCGCGAATGCCCTGGCTGGTGCCGAGTCCAGCCGGCCAGCGACGAGTGGGCCGAGGTAAAGAGGCGCCGCACGGGGCCCCCCAGCGCGGGCTCTCCCCACGCCACAGCACAGAGGGCGCGCGAGAACGCCTCCCTGCCCATGCCGCGGTCGAAGGCCCACTCGGCGTAGTCGACCAGGGCGCCGTCCCACTGCAGGGGCGTCCACTCCGGGAGCGCTTTCACCCTGAGCCAGGTCAGCGCCCGCAGGTAGGCGCGCTCCGTGGCGGGGCGCACCCGGCTGGCGGCCAGCCGCGAGAGCCGCGGACACAGATGCGCCCGCCGCGCGCCGTGCCAGGCGGGCCCAGCGCTCACAGGCGCCCGGGATGTCCAACCCTGGCGGGGGCCCGAAGGGCCGGGCAGCCAGCGCCCGCCGCCCGATCCTGAGGCGCGCCGGGTGATCCGCTTCGGCCGGGGCTCCACGGCATCGCGGGCGCGCTTGTCGAAGGCGGGGTTGATCCAGAAGGCCCGAGGCGGCGTTGACGTCGTCGTTCGAGCCGATGTCTACGGAGGGTGTGCATCCTCTGTGGTTGTCGTGCTGTGTGATGATGTCGCGTTGCGCCCGATGGCCCGGCGTGAACCTCCGTGAAGGGGCGCCCCCCGGATTGAGCTCGGAGGGGATCCACCGAAACCTGAACTGGATCCCCGTCGCAATCGAGAGCGCGCAAACCTCGCGGCAGACCCCGTTGAATCCAAAGTGAGCAGCCCTTCCATTTTCACACGCACATGCCACCTCGAGGTTGCCCCCCAGGACGAGGTGCCGAAGTCCATGCAACTGAGCATTCCGAACTAGACGGCGCACGGCCCACCCCACCCCCTCATCCCCAAGGGCGTGGATGGCTGCGGCGCGGCGCCGGCGCCGCGCAGCTACCGCCGTCCAGGGCTCAACCAGGAGCCGCCCCGCTGGGACCTCCTCGAAGTGCGCGAGGGCCCTCGAAAGCGGCTGCTCTCCGAAAGGCCGCCAACTCGTCGCGCGACCCCGACGGGCCGCGATTGCTCGACGACGCCGAAACCACGGCGAAGCGTCGGCAGCCGTGACTCGGTCGCACCAGGTGCGACTCAACAGGGCGGTCACGCATGGGAGGAGAGCCCTGAACCAAGCGAGCTCCCGCTTCACTTAGGCCCAGAGGGGCTGCCGCCTGTCACGCGTGCGCCGGCAGAACTCGTAGATGGCGTGGAACAAGGAGAGCATTGGCCGCTGCAGCATCATGGCGGAGGTGATGTGACCCATGAGCCTCTCAAGCTCGCGCTCCGTGACTAGGCGCCCGGGCGCGAGCACAAAATCGAAGCTGAACTTCAGTCGCCAGAACGTGCTCCGCGACAGCCGCCAGGTGGCGGAGGGCTTGTGCAGCACATAGCCAAGCAGGGTGTGGAATTCGCCGTCGTCGCTGTCGAAGGAGGCCTGGATCCCCCGCTCGCCCAAGGCGGCCAGCATGTGCTCCACCTCCAGCACAGGGTCGCCACTGCCCGATGCAAAAACGGCAACGCTGTCCATGTGCAGCATCTTGGCCCCGGAGCACTGCGCGCCGAAAGCGAAGGCGGGCGCCTTGTCGGCAATCCACGGCGACTCCGGGCTGACAACAGCCAGGATGTGGGCGTGGGCCACCTGGGCGAGGTGCACAGCCCACGACCAGCCCATCGGGGCCACCCTGGCAACAAAGTGGACCATCTCGGACAAGTAAGTGATGCCCAGAAGCTGGCGAGCCTCCGGCTGGAGAAAGCGCGCCTGCACGGCAAGTAGCCCGAAAAAGTGACGAGCCCAAGGTGGCAGCTCGCACGGGTAGAAACAGCAGTCAACGTCAGCGGAGGCCACCGCGACTCCCTTGGAGGCGTCCACCTCCAGGTTCGCCAACGCCTCCACGCTCGCGAGGAGAGTGCGCGGCGGCTCCTGGAAGTGCGCGTTCGACCTCTTGGTGTCCAAAATCAACCGCAAAGAGGAGTCCTTCTTCGGAACGGAGGAAATGCCAGCGCGCTCGGCGACGTTGCCCTCGCCCACGCGCTCGGGGATGCCCGCGGAGAGCAGCTCGGAAAGGCACTCGCCGTAGTGGTAGACGTGCCTCTGCAGCACCAGGTCCATAGCACAGACCCGAGGGGCCGTGCCCCAAGCAAAATTGCGAGCCTCAGGCTCTCGCAACATCTGCGAAGACTATGACAGGATAGTCTGCAGGCGCGGGGGCAGCACGTCACTGAGCCGCACACGCCCGGCCGCAGCCCGAGGGATCGCCATGGCCCCCTTCCTGTAGGTCGTCGCAGCGCCGTCGGCCATGAGATCTGCATAGCCGTTCCGCGAAGCCTGGAGCGTCTGCAACGCCCCCAGGGGGTCATGTCGGATGGCGGCCGCTCCACTCTGCCGCACAGCCGTGCGAGGTGCCGCGCCGCAGCGGCCTGGCAGGCGGCCGGAGGTCTAGCCGGAACGTCAGCGCTGCGACCGCCCAGGTCGTTGAAGGCGGCCCTCGCGCAGCCGAGCCTCCTGCTGTCGCCGTAGTCGCCCGCGCCGTCCGCCGCCGTGTGGCAGCAGGCGGGCTGCCGCGCCGCGCAGCAGCTCGTCTAGCGACTCGCTCGACGGGAGGGGCAGAACGTCGCGCGCCAGGGCCGAGCCCATGATCCCTTGTGCCGAGGCCGCCATCACCACCGCAGTGGCGGCCCTCCCCTGAAGTAGCGCCCGCTGCCCGGGGGGCTGCAGCGGCCCCGCGAAAGCCGAAAGAGGGTGGCGGGCTAGCCCCGCCCACGGCCGCGGGCGCCACGATCGCGCCCTCGGCGTGCGGGGCCAGCACCGCCGCCCGAGCCGCCGCCGCCTCCGCCTGGGTCGCCGAGGCCAGCGTCGGCCGCGCTGCTGCTCTCGCCACGCGCCATGCGGCGCTCCTCCCTCCCTTTGCGCCCCTCCTTGAAGATGGCGCTCTCCTCCTGCATCTTCGCCGCCGCGTGCCTCTCCAAAGTCGGCGCCGCAAGGGCGTGTCCCTTCGCGCGCGTGCCTCCTAAAAAAATGCGGCGCTCGTCCACCAGCAGTCGGCGTCAGCTGCAGCACCGGCGGCGCCCGAGACCTCTGCCTGTCGCAACGCTGAAAGCGCCGGGCCGCCAGCTCAAACGTCTCGCACCCCGGCAGGTTGAGCTGGTCGGCCGCGGCGGCTGTCTCCAGGAGCTGGCACAAGAACAAGCGTTCGTCCACTCCGGGGCCAGCTGCTGCCAACCCCAAGATCTGTCTCCACCAGTAGTGGCGCTGGGCGGGCCCGCCACCCTGCTCCAGGTGAGCCTGAAGCAGCCGGCCAACGGTGGCGGGCCCCTCAATGCGCCGCCCCTTGGTGTCCAGCGCCTCCTGCTGCTCAGCAGCTCAGCAACCACCTCGGCGAAGGCCCTGCGCCGCTGCCCCGTGCGGCCCCGTCGGTGCTGCAAGATGCGCTCGTCCAGTACTGCATGTGGCTCCGCCCGAGGTGAGTCCAGCACATCCTCGAGTGCGCCCACGCGCGCGAGCGCGATGACCCCCTCGGGGAAGGACGCCAGGGCGCGGTCGCCGCTGGCATGGACGGCGGCGAGGGCCACGTCCACAGGGGCGCCCCGCTTGAAGCCCAGCCGCGTCTCCAGCGCCACCCAGCCATCGTCGAGCCGCCCTGGCGGGAGGGGCGCGCCGCCCAGGCCCGCGCACGCGCCGGAGGCGGGAGCGGCAGGCCCGCAGGGCGGTCGTCCCGCTCGGCGTCGGAGCCGACCGGCGTCGGCGCCCCTCCGTCGAGGACGATCTGCGTCTCGGGCGACAGGGCTGGGGCGGCCTGCTTTACTCGGAGGCGGCGGCCCGCGGGCAGGGCGGCGCGCCCCCGTTCGGCCAGCTGCGCACCCTCAGACATCAGGGCGGCCAGTGCGTCCTTGCCCAGGTCGAACCTGTAGAAGGGCTTATTGTGCAGCTGTGGCGGCGGGCCGCCGCGCGGCCCGCCGAGGTGCACCTCCGCGCGGTCCGCGTCGGAGAAGTATTCGACGAAGACGTCCCCGTCAGGCGTCGCCACCGCCCAGAGTGAGCTTGCCACGCGCCCGCAGAGCAGGCGCTCGTGATACAGCTTCTCCTCCAGGCTGTACAGACAGTGCACTCGGTCCCCCAGCCGCGCCGCCTCCATCATGTCCGTCAGGCCGCGCGGGAACACGGCCATGGAGCCGACCCATCAGGTGCCCGCAGGCAAAGGCGGCGAGCAACGCCAGGCAGACGATCACGGTCACCTCCCAGAAGGAGGGGCAGCGCGGCGGCGGGGCGTGTCGTAGTTGTTCAGGCCCGCGCCTGTTTAATTGCCGTTGCAGGAGCTGGACCAGATCTTTGTCGTGCTCCCCACTGAAGGTGCACGTGCAGTGACACCCCCGCTGCCAGCTGCTCCAGAGATTGACGGCGCACAGACCTGCGGCAGCCCAGCCCCGAACTTGGTGGAGACCAGGGGCGAAGAGGGCCATGGCGCAGCGCAGCTCGAACAGAAGCGATGGCTACCGAGCGAAATCAAGCGGGCGTGCATCATCGAATTGGCGCGCGAATATCCTATCGGGCGGGGCGGGGCGACCCAGCGGGGCGGGTCCCGCAAGCAAGCGGGCTCTAACGAGCGGGGCGGGTCGACTCGGGCGGGCGGACCCTAACGGGCGGGTCGGGTCGGGTCGGGCGGTCGGGGACATAACGTATCATGCGTCATCGAAATGGCACGTGAATGCCCGAAAAGGTGGGCAGGACGGGGCGGGCGGGCGAACCATTACGGGCAGGACAAGTCGGGTCGGGCGGGCGGGCACTAGCCGGCGGGTCGGGCCGGGTCGGGTCGGGCGAGACATTAAAGTCTGATGGGTCATTGAATTGGCACACGAATGCCCAATGCGCTGGCGGCTCGGGCAAGCCCTAACGAGCGGGGCGGTGTCAGTTGCCTCCAACTGACGGTCAGTCGGAGGCAACTCAGCTGGTCAAGTGCCTCCAGTTGACGCTCGGTTGCCTCCAATTGAGCTGGCCTGGGACCTGCTACTGCCCGTCAGGCGGAGCCAACTGGCCAGGTCAGTTGGAGGTCTCCAACCGACGGTCGGTTGGAGGCAGCTGACGGTCAGATGGAGACAACTCGGCTGGTCAGGTGCTTCCAACGGACTGGTCAGTTGCCGTCAGCTGCCCTGGCCAGTTGCCTCCAACTGACCGGCAATTGGAGGCTACTGACCAAGCCAGTTGCCTCCAACTGACCGTCAATGGCCTCCAACTGAACGCTGGAAACGACTCAGCGGGCCTGTTGGAGGCAATTAACGGTCAGTTGCCTCCAGTTGACGGTCAGTTGGAGGCAACTCAGCGCGTCAACTGGAGACTACTCAGCGAGTCTGTTGGTGGAGGCAACTGATCTGGTCAATTGCTTCCACCTGACCATCGGGCTTTTCCAACTGACCTCGTCAGTTGCCCCTCCACCAGACCGCCCGCTGGCTCCAACTGACCAGACCACTTGCCTCCAAGTGACCGTTGGCTGGAGGCAACTGACAATCTCAATTGGCCCCAGCTGGCCGTCAATTGGAAGCAACTGGCGCTCAGTTTGCGACAACTGACCGTCAGTTGGAAGCACCTGACGTTCAGTCGGAGGCAGCTGGCCATGTCAGGGGCTTCTAACTGACGATCAGGTGGAAGCACCTGACGGCCAGCAAAAGGCAACTGATCGTCAGTTGGAAGCAATGTAAAGTCAGTTGGAGGCAGCTGAGGGTCCGATGACGGAAACTGACCACGTCAGCAACCTCCAACTGACCCCCATTTGCCTCCAACTGAGCCGCGCCCTGGACTTATCGCCAGTAGGAGGCGCCTCCAACTGGCCCGCTGACTTGCCTCCAACTTACCGTCAGTTGTGTCCAACTGAACAAGCAAGTTGGAGGCAACTGACGGTCAATGGGAGGCAACTGACGGTCACGCGGAGGTTCCTGAGCTAAACGCGAGTTGGAGGCTACTCAGGGGGGACAGTTGGACGCAACTGACCTGTAGTTGGACGCAACTGACCATGTTAGTTGGAGGCAACTGCCTGTCAGATAGAGGCGACTGACAGGTCAGTTCAGCTGGAAAAAAAGGCGGTCAGTTGGAGGCAACCGACCGTGAAGTGGAGGCAGCCGGCGGCCAGTTGGAAGGAACGAATCTGCTGAATTGCATCCAAGTCGCGGTCAGTTGGAGGCAACTGGCCAGCTAAGTTGCCTCCAACTGACGGTCGGCTGCCTCCAACTGACCGTTAGTTAAAGGCAACTTAGCTGACCAATTGCCTCCAACGGCTGGCGAATTGCCTCCAACTGACTGTCAGTTTGCCTGCAACTGGCCGTCAGCTGCCTGCTACTGACCGCCAGCTGGAAGCACCCGTCCTCGTCAGATGCTTCCAAATTGCTGTATGCTGCCCCCTGCTGACGGTCAATTGCCATCAACTTGCGGGCAACTGCCTCCAACGCACGGTCAGTTGGAAGAAGCCGACCTGGTCAATTGCCTCCAATTGACCGCGGGTTGGAGGCAACTCGGCAGGTAGGTTGCCACCAACTGGCCGGCCGCTGGCTGCCTCCAACTCACGGTCAGTTTCGCCAGCTGGCCGTCAGTTGCTTCCAACCAAACTGACCTGGTCAATTGCCTCCATGTGACTGTCAGTTGCCTCCAACTGGCCAGGTCACTCGCGTCCAACTCCAGGTCAGTTGCCTCCAACTGACCCGCTGAGTAGCCTCCGACTCACGGTCAAATGGAGGCAACCCAGTAAATTCAAAGTGACAGTCAGTTGCCTCCAACTGAGGGTCAATTGCCTCCAACTGGCCGTCAGATGACTCCGACTGACCGCCGCATGGCCCCGGCTGATCGTCAGCTGCCCCCAACTGACGGTCAATTCACGTCACGCAAGCCGCACTATGCGCGCGAGCAGCGTCAGCCAATCCACCCAGAACAGACAGCAGGGCTGGGCTGAACTAATCAGATTCGGACCCAGTCCTGGCCCATATCAGGCAGCGCAGTCGTTATCTCTGTAGAGGCCCTCTTCTTCTGCGCACTCTTGATATTCGACAGCCTAACAAGATGCCTTTACAGAGCGTCGCTCTCACCCTTCAAGCGCAGCAGGCGGTCCAATGCATCCTTGTCAGCTTGAT